TTTTGTGGTCGTATATTGGTATGACGTTGGCGTCGTCATTGTCGTCTGGCGTTGTCCGAAGACACATTGGATTTCGCACTCTAACTTTAGTTTAAGTGAATGGATCTCTATGAAATTTTACCACAAGGTTCAATACCACAAAAGGAAGGTTGGGATTGATTTTGGGGGTTATGGTACCAACAGTAAAGGAATTAGGGGCAAAAAATAAGCATTTTTGTAACTTCCAGACATAACTTGTGTGTTAGTGTATGGATCTCTCTGACATTGTACCACAAGGTTCCATATCACAAAAGGAATGCTGGGATTGATTTTGGGGGTAATTGCCTCAAAATTTTAGGAATTAGGGGCCAAAAAAGGGGCAAAAAACAAGCATTTTTCTAGTTTCATGACAATAACTTGTGTTTTAAGTGTATGGATCTTTCTGAAATTGTACTACAAGGTTCCATATCACAAAGGAAAAGCTGGAATTGAGTTTGGGGGTAATTGCAGAAACGTTTAGGAATTGGGGGCCAAAAAGGGGCCAAAAATAAGCATTTTTCTAGTTTCCAGACAATAACTTGTGTTCAAGTGTATGGATCTCTCTAAAAAATTGTACTGCAAGGTACCATACCACAAAGGGAAGGCTGGGATTGATGATGGGGGTAATTGCCTCAATATTTTAGGAATTAGGGGCCAAAAAATGGGCAAAAAACAAGCATTTTTCTAGTTTCAGGACAATAACTTGTAAGTGTATGGATCTTTCTGAAATTGTACTACAAGGTTCCATATCACAAAGGGAAAGCTGGGTTTGAGTTTAGGGGTAATTGCCCTAAACGTTTAGGAATTTAGGGCCAAAAAGGGGCCAAAAAACACATTTTTATACGCCCGTTTACGGGACGTATTATGGTATACCTCTGTCCGTCCGTCCGTCGTCAACATGTCGGACAGTAACTCAAAAATGCTTTAACCAATTTGCATAAAACTTTGGTGAATTGTTTATATCTATTGACGTGAGCTCCCTTTCGTTTTTTATAAAATTTAGATTTTAGGTGTCCGAGTTATGGGGTTTTATTCATTAAAAAAAGGGGGATTTTCCAGTTTTCGGACAATAAGTCAAGAATGCTTTCACCAACTTGCAAGAAATTATGGTGAATTGTTAATATCTATTGACATGAGCTCCCTTTCGATTCTTATAAATTTTAGATTTTACGTTTCTGAGTTACAGGGTTTTTGTCGAGCCTGCGACTTTTGTCGCAGAAAGCTCGACATAGGGATAGTGATCCGGCGGCGGCGGCGGCGTTAGCTAACTTCTTAAAAGCTTTATATTTTAGAAGGTGGAAGGTCTGGATGCTTCATACTTTGTATATGGATGCCTCATGTTACGAAGTTTCTGTCAGTCACATGTCCAATGTCCTTGACCTCATTTTCATGGTTCAGTGACTACTTGAAAAAAAAGTCCAGATTTTTTGTAATGTTAGATTCTCTCTTATTATAAGTAATAGGATAACTCTATTTGGTATGTGCGTACCTTGCAAGGTCCTCATGCCCGTCAGACAGTTTTCACTTGACCTCGACCTCATTTCATGGATCAGTGAACAAGGTTAAGTTTTGGTGGTCAAGTCCATATCTCAGATACTATAAGCAATAGGTCTAGTATATTCGGTGTATGGAAGGACTGTAAGGTGTACATGTCCAACTGGCAGGTGTCATCTGACCTTGACCTCATTTTCATGGTTCAGTGGTTATAGTTAAGTTTTTGTGTTTTGGTCTGTTTTTCCTATACTGTATGCCATAGGTCTACTATATTTGGTGTATGGAATGATTGTAAGGTGTACATGTCTAGCGGGCAGGTGTCATCTAACCTTGACCTCATTTTCATGGTTCAGTGGTCAAAGTTAAGTTTTTGAGTTTTGGTCTTTTTTTCTAATACTATATGCAATAGTTCAACTATATTTGGTATGTGCGTACCTTGCAAGGTCCTCATGCCCGTCAGACAGTTTTCACTTGACCTCGACCTCATTTCATGGATCAGTGAACAAGGTTAAGTTTTGGTGGTCAAGTCCATATCTCAGATACTATAAGCAATAGGTCTAGTATATTCGGTGTATGGAAGGACTGTAAGGTGTACATGTCCAACTGGCAGGTGTCATCTGACCTTGACCTCATTTTCATGGTTCAGTGGTTATAGTTAAGTTTTTGTGTTTTGGTCTGTTTTTCCTATACTGTATGCCATAGGTCTACTATATTTGGTGTATGGAATGATTGTAAGGTGTACATGTCTAGCGGGCAGGTGTCATCTAACCTTGACCTCAGTTAAGTTTTTGAGTTTTGGTCTTTTTTTCTAATACTATATGCAATAGTTCAACTATATTTGGTATGTGCGTACCTTGCAAGGTCCTCATGCCCGTCAGACAGTTTTCACTTGACCTCGACCTCATTTCATGGATCAGTGAACAAGGTTAAGTTTTGGTGGTCAAGTCCATATCTCAGATACTATAAGCAATAGGTCTAGTATATTCGGTGTATGGAAGGACTGTAAGGTGTACATGTCCAACTGGCAGGTGTCATCTGACCTTGACCTCATTTTCATGGTTCAGTGGTTATAGTTAAGTTTTTGTGTTTTGGTCTGTTTTTCTTATACTGTATGCAATAGGCCTACTATAGTTGATGTATGGAATGATTGTAAGGTGTACATGTCTAGCGGGCAGGTGTCATCTGACCTTGACCTCATTTTCATGGTTCAGTGGTCAAAGTTAATTTTTTGAGTTTTGGTCTTTTTTTCTAATACTATATGCAATAGTTCAACTATATTTGGTGTATGGAAATATTTTATGATCTATTTGTCAGTCACACAGTTTTTTTTTTTACCTTGACCTCATTTTCAAGGTTCATTGCTCAGTGTTAAGTTTTTGTGTTTTGGTCTGTTTTTCTTAAACTAAAAGCAATAGGTCAACTATATTTGTTGTATGGAAGAATTGTTAGCTGTACATGCCTGCCTAGCATGGTTCATCTGACCTTGACCTCATTTTCATGGTTCATTGGTCAATGTTTAGTTAACTTGGTTAATAATAAGTTGATGTGACAGTTATAATAAAGCTTTATATTTAGGACTATCAACATAATATCAATGATAAGTAAAGAAGGCGAGACATTTCAGTGTGTGCACTCTTGTTTTCATAAGAAAAGGAGGGATTTTCCAGTTTTCGGACAAAAACTCAAAAATGCTTTCAGCAATTCTTATGAAACTTTGGTGAATTGTTTGTATGTATTGATGTAAGCTCCCTTTAGAATTTTATAAATTTTACATTTTACATTTCTGAGTTATGGGGTTTTATTCAATAAAAAAGGGGTGATTTTCCAGTTTTCGGACAATAACTCAAAAATGCTGTCACCAATTCTCATGAAACTTTGGTGAACTGTTTATATCTATTGATGTAAGCTCCCTTTTTATTTTCATAAATTTCTAATATGACATTGAGAATTAATTGAACTTTATTTGTTTATAGTCTGACAACAGATTTACTAAGTATTGCACAACAGCAAGAAATCTTTAATTGAATATAAATTCATTTCATATAACCAATTTCAAGATCTTTGACTACATTTATTCAGAAACCTATAATATGTCATATATTTAATTGCAATCCAAATTCCGACCTGAATCAAGCTTGAATATTGTGTCCATTTTTGCCCCAACTGTTCAGGGTTGGACCTCTGCGGGCGTATCTAGCTGCGCTCAGCGAAGCAGTTTATTCTAGTTTCCAGACAATAACTTGTGTTCAAGTGTATGGATCTCTCTGAAATTGTACTGCAAGGTTCCATACCACAAAGGGAAGGCTGGGATTGAGTTTGGGGGTGATGAATCATAATGGGGTTCAAAAAATTTTGGGGGGGGATTTTTTTATTTTCCTTTTTTTTTTCTTTTAAAATTTTCCATTTTAAGTTGGTTATTTCTGATTTATATTTAAAAGCAAATAATAATGATATGGTAGGAGATACACACCAAACAGGATGTGTAAATTTTTATATAATAAGTATTGTGCAATAGCAAGAAATTTTCAATTGCACAGTATTGCACAATAGCAAGAAATCTTCAGTTGCACAGTATTGCGCAATAGCAAGAAATCTTCAATTGCACAGTATTGCGCAATAGCAAGAAATATCCAATAGCACAATATTGCACAATAGCAAGAAATTGTCAATTGTACAGTATTGCGCAATAGCAAGAAATATTCAATTGCACAGTATTGTGCAAAAGAAGATACTTCGTATAAATTGCTTATTTCTTGACCAATTTCAATCGGGTTTTATTCTTGAATTCTTGGGGTTCTTTAATATGCTGAATCTAACCGTGTATTAAGTTTTTGGATTTTGGGCCCCGTTTTTAAATTGGTCCACATTGAGGTCCAAAGGGTCCAAAATTAAACTTTGTTTGATTTCATCAAAAATTGAATTATTGGGGTTCTTTGATATGCCGAATCTAACCGTGTAGTTAGATTCTGAATTTTTGGTTCCGTTTTCAAATTGGTCTACGTTAAGGTACAAAGGGTCCAAAATTAAACTTAGTTTGATTTTAACAAAAATTGAATTCTTAGGGTTCTTTGATATGCTGAATCTAAACATGTATTTAGAGTTTTGATTATGGGCCCAGTTTTCAAGTTGGTCCAAATCGGGGTCCAAAATTAAACTTTGTTTGATTTCAACAAAAATTGAAATATGGGGTTCTTTGATATGCTGAATCTAACCATGTATTTAGATTTTTGGGCCCCGTTATCAACTTTGTTCACATTGAGGTCAAAAGGGTCCAAAATTAAACTTTGTTTGATTTCATCAAAAATTGAATTCTTTTTTAAAAAAATCCACAAAAAATATAACACCGGACATTCGGACCGGAATTCAACAAAATTTTACCAGACCGATCCATTATTCACCGGATTTGTCCAACGGTCCGATGTATTTCGTGTAGTCTGACATTGATCTAAATTATTTAAATGCAAAAGTAAAAAGTATTACATTTGTAGATCTAATAGAGGAAGTGGTGCTCGAACAAATGGAAGTGGGAGAAAATGGAAAAAAAGACGATGGGAAACGTAAGTATTGTTTTTATGTTTCTAAAACAAAAGAAACATCTAATAAAAATGAAAAAAAGAAGCACATTAAAGTGTAGATTGAATAAAGGTTGTCTTCAAAACAATGGTCACTTTCTTTATGTTTTAAAAGAATGTAAAGACTTTTTTTTTTTAAACTCATCACTGTTTCTGTAACCTTTGGTTCCATTGAAATTTAATATTATTCTCTTGAAAGTAACTATAAAAATTACCTGCTTAGGTAATTAAACAAATATATGACTTGTTTAGGTAACCCATGGCTGATAAAAATGTTGACTTGATCATTTGTTGCTCGAGGTCCTCGTAGTAAATTTTATTATGAGAGTTTCAGTCAAATTGGTGAACATACATTTGACAGCTAGTGCCCCAGTCTAAACATATTTTATTTGTTTAATATACAAAAGGGATGCGACCCAAGTTAAAACAAACTTATGAAGTCATCTCCATAAGAAAATACCTGTTTAGGTAATTAAAATAAAATATAACTTGTTTAGGTAACCACTGGCTGCTCATAGTTAACATCAAATAATTAACAAGTACTTAACAATATTTGTACGGTGAAGGAAAATAAAGAATTAATTAAATGACTTCATTTTGAAGGAAAGTGTAGTAATTGCATATATTTAATTTTAGACCACATGATAATGATGACAAAGAAGATGAAGAGCAGCATCCTTTAAATGAATAGGGGTAAGTCGTGATACTTAAATGCAATAAATAAATATCTGGTATTGGGGAAATGATTTAAACCTTTTAAGAAAGAAGCACATTTAAAAATTACCTGTTTAGGTAATTAGAAAAATATATAACTTGTTTAGGTAACCCTTGGCTGATTAAAATATTGACTACATGTGTTGATCGAGGTCCTTGTAGTAAATTTTATTATGAGAGTTTCAGTCAAATCGGTGAACATACATTTGACAGCTAGTGCCCCAGTTTAAACATATTTTATTTGTTTAATATACAAAAGGGATGCGACCCAAGTTAAAACAAACTTATGAAGTCGTCTCCCAAAAAATACCTGTTTAGGTAATTAAAAAAAAATAAAACTTGTTTAGGTAACCACTAGCTGATTAAAATGTTGACTTCATCCTGCTCATAGTTAACATCAAATAATTAACAAGTACTTAACAGTATTTGTACGGTGAAGGAAAATAAAGAATTTATTAAATGACTACATTTTGAAGGAAAGTGGAGTAATTGCATATATTTAATTTTAGACCACATGACAATGATGACAAAGAAGATGAAGAGCAGCATCCTTTAAATGAATCGGGGTAAGTCGTGATACTTAAATGCAATTAATAAATATCTGGTATTGGGGAATTGATTTAAACCTTTTAAGAAAGAAGCACATTTAAAAATTACCTGTTTATGTAATTAGAAAAATATATAACTTGTTTAGGTAACCCTTGGCTGATGAAAAATGTTGACTTGATCATGTGTTGATCGAGGTCCTTGTAGTAATTAACAAATATCTGGTATTGGGGAAATGATTTAAACCTTTTAAGAAAGAAGCACATTGATGTGTAGATTGATTAAGGGTTGTCTTCAAAACAATGGTCACTTTATTTAGGTTTTAGAAGAATGTAAAGACTCTTTCTTTTTTTAAAACTCATCACTGTTTCTGTAACCTTTGTTTCAATTGAAATTTAATATTATTCTCTTGAGAGTAACTTTTCTTAAAAATTACCTGTTTAGGTAATTTAAAAAATATATAACTTGTTTAGGTAACCACTGGCTGATTAAATGCAATTAATCAAATCAATATCAATTAATCAATATCTGGTATTGAGAGATGAATGTGAAGATTAAGATCAATCTTTAAATAAATCTGATTGACAAGAAGAAGAGCATTTCTTAAAAAGTAACTTTTAAAATTACCTATATAAGTTATGTTAAAAATGGGCTTAGAATGTAACTTATATCAGTTATTATTCTTATTATCCTTTGTTTGTATCTTACAATTTACACATAAAAGTTGATATTGTTCATTTAATAAAAGTTGAAACGGCATACATATATATTAAATGTGGAACCCAGATTGAACTGAGCTTTAACATAACAGCTTGCAACAGAAAACTGATACCAGTATATGTTCAATGCTTCTGTTATCTGTTCACCTTTATTTGTATAGTAGAAAGGTTGCTGGCAGGATAAAATGCTTTTAGTACAATACTACATGTTAATACTTATTTTTTGTAGACCAGAATGTCAAAAGAAACTATTTGAAGATGAGGACATGGTTATAGATGATAGGTTTGTAAATCAATAAAACAGTAATGACCATTTTTTTAATATAGCGGTTGTCTTTGTTATCTTAATCCAAATTTTCATTTATTATTTTTCCTTAAATCAGGCTGTTTATTTTCTTGCTTGAATTGATTTTTAGCTCTTGCCATTACTTGGTGTTTGTCGTCATGGTCCGTCATCTGGTGTAAACTATTTCAAAGATCTTCTCTTCTGAAACAACTGAACCAATTCAAACCAAACTTAAGCTGAAGGATCTAGAGGGTATCTTTAATAAAGTTTGTTTTATTTTCTGTTAAGTCCAAAACTATGGCCACCATGGCAAAGATGTAAAATGCAGTTTTAGGCTTATATCTCAAAAACTGCTAAAAATAAAGACCATGGCATGTATGGCTAAAATAGAACATAGAAGAAAATATGACAGATACATGTACAAAGAACACTTAAATGGCATTTGTAAGTATATTTATATGCATTGAAAAGCAAAAATAATCATTGATGAAAGATTTAAGCAAAAACCTTCAGGTGAGAGATTCAGCATGTTCAGGCTCTTGAGAGCATTTTGTTTTTATAAAGTTTACAAAATTATTGAGTTTATTCTTTTTTTTAGTTTTCATGGCAGTTATGGTTATAATAGTGAAGATGAGATGAGTCCACTTTACCCTCTGGATATATAGTTCCTTGTTGAGGTAAAATAATAGAATTATTTTATTGATCATATGTTAATAAATTTTCTGTTCACTTGAGAATGTTGTGCAAACATAGTTGACATTGAATTATCAACCTATTATATATATTTATTTTATTGTTGTTTCACTGTTTTCAATATTGCACTGTGTTCGAATTTAACTGTTCCTGTTTATTACAGGCTTCATCATAAGGAAAAGAGCTTTAATATCAAGAATGTGTTTTTGAACGTTTTATTTACCAAATGAAGAATGTCTTGCATTGTCTTAAGAGTTAACATTTCATTCTTTCTAGCTGTCATACATTTTCCAATTTAAATTGATACAATACTTTTCAGAGTTACCAGGCATTTAATTTTTGCTACACCTGATGTGTGTTTTGTCTATACAAGACTCATCAGTGATGCTCAAATCAAAATAATTGTAAGGCTAAATAAAAGCATTGAGGACCAAAAATTCAATGAGTTGTGCCAAAAACGGCTAAGGTAACCTGTGCCTTGAGGTAGAAAATCCTTAGTATTTATAATAATTCTATGTTTTTCAAACAGTAAATTTATAAAAAAAAACAAAAAACATCATTGATATTTCATGCCAACACCAAAGTGTTGACTACTGGGCTGGTGATACCCTCATAGCTGAAAACATTTCAAGCAACCCCATGTAATAAATTTGGCATTTCTATATTTTATAAAACATGTTTATATTAGCTTATTTTATTGTTGAATAGTGAATCATCGTTTCTAACAGCTTTGGCCTCTGAGTTGATGGAGGTCCCAGACAAGGTAGTTGGTTTTTCTGCTCATGTTTTTTTTCTATAGATGGTAGATTTAACATGTGCATAGTATATTTTTCAGAAATAACAGCAAATTTGTTTTTCCTTTTTTTTCTAATTCCTTTTCTTATAAATGCATGCAATGCATGAAGATAATCAAACACCATAGTTTCCCTACCTCACCGAGGTTGACAGCAGGTCTAGTAACCGATAGCTAAGCATGGTTTAATCTTAATTTAAACACCACTAGAAAATCATAAAAAGGCACACCTCATCAGAATGTGGAGATTTGCCTGCTTCATATTTACAGTTTATTGTATTGTTGTTTCACTTGAATTACTAAAACCTGTACATTACTGTCAAATCTTTAAGTGAAAAGTGAGCAAATGCGGGAAGGTCTTCATCAATGGACTAAAATTCTTAATGTGTCAGTTTTAAGATGAGTATTGAATGAATTCGAAGGAGTTGACCAAACATGATTTTACCACTACCAATGTTTTAAATAGACAATTTTTATAGGAACTGATTCTTTCATGAAGTACTCACGACTCCTTTTGTCGAGATGAGTGAAATATAGGCATTAGATGGCATTAAATGAATAGCTATTAAAAAATTATTTAACAATTACCATAACTAGGTAAACATGTGCATAAATAACAATACCATGGAATTCCTATCAAATTAATCAAAAATTCTTGAGCCTGATTAATGATTGAAAAATCATTACTATCAAGTGAAACATGAACAGGATGACCAATATTTACCAATTACTGAAAATTTATTAGTTGAAGACGTTTATCATGTTTAGGAAAAAGACTTCTAATTAATTATAGAAATGAGTTCATTGTTTTTCAGGATGGTATAGAAGTGGTGAAAAATACTCATGCATTTAAGATAGGTATGTATATTTTTCGATTCGAGCGTCACTGATGAGTCTTTAATAGACGAAACCCGCGTCTGGCGTAATATAATTTAGAAGCCTGGTACCTTTTATATGTATTTGTAGCAGGAGTTGATTAGTATTATACCCTATATATTTCAAGTCTGAAATGTGAAAGTTTCAGTGGAATCTAATTTGCAAGAAAATGGTAGTCTTACAGACAATGTATAAAGGACATAATAAATGTTCGAACTAGAAAGGTATAAAATAAACTGGTGCAAAGCTGAAAAAGCATCTTTATTCTTGGGCTACCAATTGTTTTTTGTGCCTTGCCCTTTACAGTAATAGATAACTGCAATTTTGATCTTTTCAGGTGATTTTTTACTAGTTGAATTCGACCTGGTGAAAAGCAGCAAGAAAAGAAACTACATAGCAGAGGCAAGTATTTTTGAGGATTTGTCCACTTCTACTAAAGAGTTCATATTTTTATGATGAGGTGTTCTGCATGATAAAATGTTATCTACTTAGAAAAGATGTTTTCCTGTACTCATGTGTTAATAGAAATTAGAACTGAATTTTCTGAATATATGCTACTCTCAGAAGTCAGTTCACTTAATAAATATGTTGATAATTCAAGAAAACACATGCTGGTCAATGCTTAATCGTACAGTAAACATGGTTAACATGGTAAAGGCTTAACAATTGCAAGAAATATTTTCAATTTATATATAATGAGTTCTACTCGTGCTACTTGTGACTGCTATGTCAATATGCACGTGCAATTAATACTACATGTACTTTATATTTTATTCTTATTATTTTAGATTTTAGAATTGGCAAAAGGGGAAGATGATGAACCCCTCTACAAAGTAAAATGCTTGAAGAGAGTAGAGGAAAATCACTTTAATTGGCCAGAAATACCTGACATATGTAATATAGCAGAAACTAAGATTTTGAAGCAAATGGACCCTCCAGAAAAGGTACAGAAAAGGAGGTCCATAAAAATGTTTTTCCCAAACCTCAATGAAGAAACATGTTGACTTTATCAGTTTATTTTAGTCTTTTGTACCTTTTTAGTTATATAGCTTTTTTTGTCAATGTTCATGATGTGTAAGCAGGGTCGAATTTAAGCTTTTTATCAACATTTTTTTACTGGTCAGCCAGACCCACAGCTGACAAAATCTAGTCAGACAAAAATTTTGTTTGTCCTGTCCCAGTGTTAATTGTTTACCCCTGTGTTTAGGTGATGTTGTTCAAAGAAAAGTTTTATCCCAGGGTATTTTAATTTGCTGTATGAATGTAAAGTAGGTTTTATTTCATTTGCAATGATTTGGGATGTAAGATAGTTAAGTGGGAGTGTTATTTCTCATTTTTAGAGAGAGAAAGTTGAAATATGTTGCTATACAGTCTCAGGGTCTTTATCATGTTTATATGCTGTATGAATATGAAGAAGATTTTTATGTTATTATATTTTATTATCCATTTTTACAGTTATAAGTTCAAGTATTTTGTACTTAAGCAGAGGGTAGGTTAGTTTTTTTGACAGTTCAATTGTGAAAATATTTTCTATAATGATGTTGAAATTAAATAACTTTGTTTTGATCATGTTGTTTCAAACAAGATATACAATTCATTAAATCCACCAATGTCATGCAGCCCATGATTTTCTTAAAATTTTATATAACTCTGTTAGAGTTACTTTTCTGGTAAATGGTTTTGTCTGTCCTATCATGTAACAGGTTAGAAAATTTTAGCCAACAATACAGTCCATTGAAATTATTTTAATCTTGCTTATACCATGTATACAGTCTTGATTTATTTTAATGGTGCAATGACTGTAATGTGTTAGATGTTTTGTAATCTTTTAAAGTTATATAGTTATATTTTGTTAATGTATAAGTGATGCTGTTTATAGAAGTTGTTAATGGATAAGTGAAGATGTTTATAGAAAAGTTTAATCTCAACCTCTTTTTACTTGCTGTATGAATGTAAAGTAGGTTTTGTGTCATTTGTTATGATTGTTGATATTTCACTTTAGCAGGTTTCTTTTTGAAACAAGTTTTGAAAATGTTACTTATACAATCTCCATGAAATCTAGGTTTTAATTTCGATGTTATTTTTTTATTGTAGTTATATGTATGACCATGATGAAGGTGCAAGTTATATAGAAAATGTTGTGTCTTCTATATACTTTTAAGATGTATACACTGTTATTTTTTACTAGACATGCTAGCTGACTGAAGTTGTTAAAGAGAAAAGTTTAATCTCAGGGTCTGTTCTCAGGGTCTGTTTTATTGGTTGTGTTAATGTAAAGTAGTGATTTATGTCATTTGTTATGATTTTGGCCCCTAGTTCACTGTTCTATGAGCATTGAACAAGTTTTGAATGTGTTGCTTATACAATCTGCATGATATCCATGTTTTTAGTACGATTTTACATATTTTTGTTGTAGTTTATATGTATGACCATTATGATATGCAAGTTTTATAGAATATGTTTCTTCTTTTTATCCTTTTTAGATATATAGCTATTATGTTTGACTAGATAAGTGATTTTGTGTATAGAAAAGGTTTTATGTCATTTGTTGTGGATGCAGAAAAGGGTGTGCATGGTTTCTTGCTACAATCTCAGTTTTTTAACACTTCTTAATATTTTGAGGATCCTTTGATTTGCTGTATAAATCTAAAGTAGTGTTTTATGTCATTCGTTATGATTTTGGATGTAGGCAATGGTAGGATACTTAAGGGAGAGCTTTGTTTCTCGTTTTGTGAAAGTTAAAATATGTTGTGATACATCTCGGGGTCTTTTAAAAAAACTGTTGAAATGTGAGTAGTGTTTTCTGTTATAACATTTGTTTTTCCTTTTAACAGTTTCGGGTCAGGATTTTTTGTTATTGAGCAAAATCTCTGATTTGATTTCAAACAATTTTCAATTCTCTCTCATTTTTAAAAACTATGAATAAGAACTTTAATTTTTTATAAGTGTTTATTATGTCAAGATTTATCAGCCCTGAATTTTTAAGACAAATTGAACAACCCATTATTAGGTTGCTGCCACTAATTTGGTAATTTGGTAATTTTTCAGTTTTTGGTTATTATCTTGAATATTATTATAGATAGAGATAAACTGTTAGGGCAAAAATGTTAAGCAAAGTAAGATCTACAAATAACGTAAATGATCAAAATTGTCAATATACCCCTTAAAGTGTTGTTGCCCTTTAAAGACAATTTTCAAAATTTTATCCTCATGTTTGCTGCCCACTTAAAAAAAAATCTTCTGAAACTACCAAACCAAAATCAATCAAACTTAAGTTGAATAATTCTAAAGGGTAACTAGTATAACGTTTGTGTTTTATTTTCTGTTTCCTCAGGAAACATGGCCCCCCATGGCTAAGAATAGAACATAGCATTTCATTATTGATGAAAGATTTAAGCAAAAAATTACAGGTGAGCGATTCAGGCTCATGAGAGCCTCTTGTTCTTTTATAGAAATCATGAAGGAATTAATTATTTAAAAAATAACTGAAATAAGTTATATTTTTGTAATTTTTTTATATTATTGTTATACATCTGTATACTTCTCTTAATTTTATTATAGATAAGAGATAAACTGTTAGGGCAAAAATGTTAAGCAAAGTAAGGTCTACTTTTTTTTTTGTATAAAATAATGAAAACGCTCATTTCAACCTCAACAATGTTCATGTAGCCCATGTTTTTATTGAAATTTTAAATAACTCCTTTGAGTAATTTTCCCCCCAAAAAAATGTTTTGGTAATTAAAAAAACCTCTTTAAGGTAACTATTTTTTTAAATATCTTGATAACGTTATTTAGATATATTATAGTTTTTGATCATTACTGTTTATACAAATAGTAAATGTGTAATCTTTGTTTTGTTGTTTTTAAACCTTAGATTTAAAAAAAATCATAACACTCTTTATGCTTATTTTTGGGATGATGTACCTTTGTTTACAATGTATAAAGAAATGGAAGTTCGTCATATTTTGATTTTTAAAGCAGTGGGAATTTTTTATTGGTTGACAATGTATTTCAGATCCCCAAAATTTACATGTTTGAAATAAGTATTTTAACAAAATAATGAAGCATCAACATTTCTTTCATTTATGTACATTACAAAGACTTATTAGATAGTTTGGATGTTCAATTCAGAAGAACCTTAGTTGTAATCACATGCATGTTAATCCATTATTTTTGTTGAGCCTTCGACTTTAGTCAAAAAAGCGAGACATAGCGATCCTACATTCCGTCGGCGGCGTCCACAAATATTCACTCTGTGGTTAAAGTTTTTGAAATTTTAATAACTTTCTTAAACTATCCTTGATTTCTACCAAACTTGGACAGAAGCTTGTTTATGATCATAAGATAGTATCCAGAAGTAAATTTTGTAAAAATAAAATTCCATTTTTTCCATATTTTACTTATAAATGGACTTAGTTTTTCTGCTGGGAAATATTACATTCACTCTGTGGTTAAAGTTTTTAAAATTTTAATAACTTTCTTAAACTATCCTGGGTTTGTACCAAACTTGGACAGAAGCTTGTTTATGATCATAAGATAGTATCCAGAAGTAAATTTTGTAAAAAAATATATCCATTTTTTCCTTATTTTACTTTTTAAATGGACTAAGATTTTCTGCCAGGAAACAACACATTCACTCTGTGGTTAAAGTTTTTAAAATTTTAATAACTTTCTTATACTATTTTGGATTTGTACCAAACTTGGACAGAAGCTTGTTTATGATCAAAAGCTAGTATCTACAAGGAAATTTTGTAAAAAAAATAAATCCATATTTTCCATTTTTTACTTTTAAATGGACTTAGATTTTCTGCCAGGAAACAACACATTCACTCTGTGGTTAAAGTTTTTAAAATTTTAATAACTTTCTTATACTATTTTGGATTTGTACCAAACTTGGACAGAAGCTTGTTTATGATCAAATGCTAGTATCTAGAAGGAAATTTTGTTTTCTTCCAGTTAACATTACATTCAGTCTGCAGTTAAAGTTTTTAAACATTTATTAGATTCATAAACTATCCTGGATTTTTACCAAACTTGGACAGAAGCTTCTTACAATCAAAAAATAGTATCAAGAGGAATATTTTTATTGATTTACTTCCTCATTTTTGTTGAGCCTGCGATTAACAGAAAAAGTAGGCGAGACACTGGGTTCCGTGGAACCCTTACGAATTTTTGTATTAAATTGTCTTATAAGATAATAAAAGGTTCTCTGATCAAAAATAAAATAATAAATCTATCAGAAATAAAGCATGACATAAAAAAGTATATGTATAAACCACAATCAATGCCACATACTTCAGATTTGTGTAATGAAAGGTATAGACGTTCACATTTTTTTTTATGTATAATCATAATAAATGCTACCTTGTTTCATTCAATCAAAATTAAAATTAAAAGAATTTATTGTGTTTGTTTTATATTTCCAAACATTTATGAGTTTGAATGTTCCG